CCCATTGCCGGCCCCCGGGCCAGTACGGGGGCAACACTGAGGGTTGCGATCCGTTGCCGGACACGGAAAAAGACAAAAAAAAAAAAAAAAAGCATGCTCTGAGTATCACAGAGCTACCAGAGGGACATTCCAACATTAACTTTAGAGGAACAATGTCAACTTGGGTGCAATATGCTCATTTGAGTGGATGCTCATACTGGTCATTGATGTACTTTTGAACTGACTTTACATACCTCTGACCTATTGTACTGGTTTTTAGCACTTGCTTTTGCAACGGTCCATATATGGAATCCTACATGATTCCTGTTTTGACCAAAAGCCGGCGCTTGCAAGATGGTATAAGAGTTAGGGAGTATGTTTCGATTGCAAACTTCCTTCTTTTCTTCCTTTTTCCATTGCTCTCTTCTCCCATTTTGACACCTTGGATACTTGATGCCAGTCATGTAAAGTAAGGATTCAAAGAAAAACAGCTGCCTTTTCCATAAAGTGGAAGAAAGTCATACTTCTCTTTGGCATGCTAATCAGTACACTTGAGTAAGAGAGACCAGCTCTGTGCTTAAAATCTTAGTTTAAGGAGGCATAAATTTTCCTACAATTTTACCTGGGTTTGTTTCTTGATCCATATCATATCCTTCTACAGGTTTTAATGTGCTAAAATGAAATTAATATAGGTTTCTGAGATATTCTCATTTATTAAAATATATTTCACTGCCTCCTGTTTATACAGTGCAGTAATTGGTATAATGATAATAGTTAGCATTTGTTAAATGCACTACATTAAACTCTTTGCACAGATTTTAACTCATTGTTCCCTGCCCTCCAGTCCCCCAACCAAAATGAAAACAGGACCTTTAACAAGAATTTATGCTTTGTAAGGATTTAAGCTTTGTAAGGGTGGAGACTTTGTCCTGTTTTGTGTTTTTTATTTATCCCTATTGATGAGAACAATGTTCACCACATAATAAGTGCTAAGTAAATGTTTTTTGAATAAATGAATTATTTTATTTAATCCTCCAGCAGCCTTCTGAGGTTGGTGTTACTGTCCATATATTGCTAGGAGGTGATGTGCAGTTAGCCGTTCACTCCATGTTGGGGAACTTTGTGCAGTTCAGTGAAGGGTGATTTTTACTTCCTGCTTTGTGTCTAGTGGACATGAGGCTTATCTATATAGAAAGGTTAAACAATAGGGTAGCAGTTATTTCTAGACAATGTGAGAAACATAAACAGGTCTACAAGAATTATAAATAATGGAGATATGAATGAATACAAATAATTCACCTGGAGCCCTGCCTGCACGTAGTGAATGCTTGATTTATTATTGTTGCTGCCCCTACTGTAACGTGATTGTTGTCATCATTATTTTTATGAATCCAATATGAGAGATCTAAAGTGAATGTTCATCTCTGTGTTGAAGTGGTCAGAGATGGTTTCCCGGATAAGATGTTATTGAAGCTTGGACAGATTGTGGACAGGTAGGGACAGAAGAGGTACTTGAGATGAGAAGACTCCTATAAACCTGGGGCCTGAGGCATAAATCATGTGTTCTCTATTCCTTGGACAGTGAGACCAATGTGTCTGGCGCAGAAGGGGCATGTGGGTTGCTAGAGGGAATAAGGGTTAAGATTGATCATTCAGAATGTGTTATTACATTATGAATGCTATGTCATATTCATAAAATTGGATTTGAAATCCTGCATGTGTTTCTGTCAGCAACCAAGTACCCTTTAATGGGAAATTATATGGTCATTATTTTACACTATAATCTGTAGTTGCAACATTGTATCTGCTTGAAAAATAATATTTGTACCTCTGGTATAAAAGGTACTGTGAAATAAACTTTGCCTTAATAAAAAGGCCACTTCCATTCGGCCTTGTGTTTTTGAAATTCAAAATTCCTTGTCATTCATTTCAAGGGCTTCTTGTTCTATATGATCTAGAGTTTGAGATTTGTTAACTTTTGGTGGTGTACTTTCTTGTTTTTTTGTATTTCTGGTATCTTTTTTTTGATGTTTATTCATTTTGGCAGGGGGTTTCACAGTGCACAGGTTTGACCCTATTGGCTAACCACGGCATGGCTGTGTTTGTCAATTTGGTATGGCTACCTCTGTTACTGCTCATTTAGCCTCTAGTGTCTTGTGTGTGTGTTTGCCTCAGGTCTTGGGCCTCTCCAGGGAGCCTCCTCTCTGGTCAGCTTGGACTCTACTGGGCTGCTGGATCTCAGGACGGTACCGCAGGGTGTGTGATCTCTTTTGAGCTTCCACTTCCCGTGTAGAACTTCTCTCTGTTCCGTGTGCTCTGGCCCTGGGTGCTGGATTACGCAGTGGCGGCCCCACAGGGTATGTGTTTTCTGCCGAGTCTCCGCCTCCCTATCCGGACGTTTCTCCGCTCTGTGCGCACTAGGTGGGGCTGTTGGACCTTGCAGAGGCGGCCCGCAGGGTGTGTGTTTTCTGCCGAGTCTCCGCCTCTCTGCCTCCTTAGCCGGACGCCTCCCCACTGTGCGCTCAGTACTGGGCTGGGGCGTGTCTTCTGCAGCCCTCATCTATCAGCCAGGACTTCAAGCCCCTGCTCAGCACCGCCCCACCCAGGAAGACTTTCAGGTTTCTGCTAGGCGCAGACTGCAGGTCGCTGTGGGTGCCTTTGTAGCACTGAATAGGGCTTTCTCAGGACTTCTCACCTTCCTCCTGGTTTTGCGGTTATTTGTGTAGTTGCCTTATCTCCCACACCAGGGTGTGAGCTCTTCGGGGGACTAGCCCACAGCACACATTTCCTCTTTGCATCCCCCCGGCATGGACCAAATCCGGCGCCTGCCCGCAGTCAGCTCTCCGGCAGGTTCAAGCGAGCTCGGGAGCGCTCCGGCCACACCTCTCCCAACCAGAAATCGGTTAGGGGTTCTTCCGAACTTATGGCCACAGAGATGGTATCTGCCTCCCGGAAACAGGAAGTTTACCTGAGGCCGGAGCCCAGGGTGCGGTGGAGTGACAATCGGGCCGGCCTCCTCTTCCCTGCCCTCCTGACGCTGGCCGGGGGTTCCCCACGCCACCAGCCCCGCCAGAGATCCATGCGGGGAGTGGGATGGGAGGCCGGTCCGCAGGCCTCGGGAGGCCCCACGCTGGGGCAAGCAAGTGACAAGGCTCAGTGAGGAGCCGCGCCGAGCAAGGAGGGCAGGCCTGGCCGAGCCGGCTGGCTCCGCCCCCACCCGAGAAAATGGAGGCAGCCCTGGTGCCGGTGACTGGCCTGGTGTGGCCGGCTGAAGCCGGGCGGGTGTCTGCCCCACAAGCAGGGCCGGGCTGGGGGGCACTAACAGACGTGGGCCGGCTCTCCATTTCTGTGTCATCGCTGCCGCCGTCCTTGGCCGCTGCTGCCTCGGGCTGCTCACTCGGTCCCGTGGCGCGGCTCGGGCGCTCTCAGGAATCTTCTTTTGTGTCGGCCCTAAACCTCGAATCTGTAGTTGCTTTTTTATCGTTGTAGATTACTTGATCAACGACTTATTCATTTTTTGTTGCTCTTGGAAGTGCAAATAGCACTCTGGCAGCACAGCGCACGCTTCTCAGGCTCGCGCTGTCTTCTGGAGCCCCCGCTCCAGACCTGTCGCCATCTTGGTCTCTCGGACACTTGATTCTGTTTTTGAAATTCAAGAACCTCATTTACTAACCTCTTCTATGATTATTGAGTCCAATGTATCTTGGAGGATTAGTATGAGTATTATTTCTTCCATCATCTCTTTAAAGGGCTGTAATTCTCTGGGGATCAGGCTTGTGCCTGTTCATCCTCCTATCTCTTCCAGCACTGAACACAGTTCCTGGCATAATCTAAGGATGCAATAAATCATGGTTGAATTGAATTTTCAAAGCATGTGAGACTGTCCACCTCTGCACTTGTGGGAGTATTTTGCAGCTGAGCTATATTTTTTGAGATATGTAATGCAGTTAATATTGTTCTTAGGTCCAGCCTGATGAGTGAAGAAGCTAAGAGAGGAGCACCCAACCCTTGGCTCTTTGAGGAACCTGAGGAGACCAGAGGCTTGGGTTTTGATGAAATCCGACAACAGCAGCAGCAGATTATCCAAGGTACCAAATACCCCAAGGAATGTGGGCTCAGAAACCTGGCCAGACGTTTCTTGTAGCCTTAAATGTGTTCTTATCCCCATTGAAAATTGGAGTGAAAACTTGGTCTTTTTTTTGTGTGTGTGACCGGTAAGGGGATCGTAACCCTTGGCTTGGTGTCGCTCGCACCGCGCTCAGCCAGTGAGCACACCGGCCATCCCTATATAGGATCCGAACCCGCGGCCTTGGTGCTCCCAACGCCACACTCTCCCGAGTGAGCCATGGGGTCGGCCCTGAAAACTTGGTCTTTTAAAGCTCTTGGTGTTTTTATGCCTCAGGATACCTGAGGAATAGATACTGTTCTCACCTTCTTGGTAGCTCACAGAAGTAGTGATTTTCCATTGGGCAAGAGCAGGTCTGAATCTGGTAAGTCCAGGTGAATTTGGTGCATGTGCCCTTTGCTTTTTTCCACTACTGGGAATTATTCTCCCAATACAAGAATCCATCTTTCTCTTCTGTAAAATAAGTCAGTTTGGTTTTTACCTTCAAGTTCATCTTGCCCAATAGCTATTAAACCTGCTAATTCTTTTTTCACTTTCTTCTATTTTTTAAATTTCAGAAGTAATACGTGAATGTTATATAAAGTTCAAACAATATAGGGACATATAAGATGAAAAGCTTTATATCCAATTGCTTCTCCAATCTCAAATTATAAATGGATATATGTACATATATATTCAGTATAAACACATATATTTTACATAAACAGGGTCATGAGGTATATAGATATCTCTATATTACTCCACAGCTTTTTGTTTGTTTGTTTTATGTGTCATGGACATTTTTTCATGTTAGTATATATAGATATGTTATTCTTTCTAATTCTGCTTTTTAAAAATAGTTTTATTGAGGTATAGTTGGCATTATCATAAATAACACATATTTGAAGTGTTTGGTTCTATAAGCTTTGATGTATGCATACACCTGTGAAACCATCACTACAACCAAAATAACAAACATAATCATTACTACTAAAAGTTTTTTCCATGTCTCTTTGTAATTTGACCTATTATCCCTCTCTCCTTCCCTAGACAACTGCTGGTCTGCTTTCTGTTACTATAAATTGGTTTGTTTCCTATAATTTAATATATAAATGGAATCATACAGATTGTACTCTTTTTTGTGGGGAAAAAGGGGTCTGGCTTCTTTCTGTCAGCATAATTATTTTAAGATTCATCTATGTTGCATGTATCAATATTTCCTACTCTTATATTGCATAATAGTATTCCATTGCATGAATTTACCACAATCTGTGTATCTGTTTATCTGCTGATGGATATTTGGGTTGTTTTTGGGTTTTGTCTGTTACAGGTAAAGCTGCTATGAGCATTCATGTATAAGTCTTTGTATGGGCATAAATTTTCATTTTTCTTAGGTACATAGCTACAAGTCGAATGACAGTCATATAGTGGGTATATGTTTAACTTTAAAAAATTTTTTTAATCTTAAAAAATTTTTAGTTGGCAAATAAAAATTGTGTATATGGCGTATAACATGATGCTTTGAAATATGTATACATCGTGGAATGGCTAAATCAAGCTAATTAACATATGCATTACTTCACATACTTATTTGTGGTGAGAATAGATTTTTTAAAAAATCTACTCTTTTAGCAATTTTCAAGTATATTAGTCATGATGTTGTGCAGTAGGTCTCTTGAAATTTCTCTAACTGAAATTTTGTATCCTTTGACCAACATCTCCCCAATTTGTGCCACCCACCTTCCCTGGTAACCACATTTTACTCTCTTATTCTGAGTTCAACTTTGTTGGATTTCACGTATAAGTGAGATCATGCAGTATTTATCTTTCTGTGCCTGGCTTATTTCACTTAACATAATGTCCTCCAGGTTCATCCATGTTGTCACAAGTGGCAGGATTTACCTCTTCTTAAAGGTTGAATAGTATGCCATGCATACATATATATATATACACACACCACATTTTCTTTATCCACTAGTCCATGGGTAGATACTGAGTTGATTTTATTTCTTGGTTATTGGGAATAATGCTGCAGTGAACATGGGAGTGCAGACATGATTCAAAATTCTGATTTCATTTCCTTTGAACATGTACCCATAGTGGGATTGCTGGATCATATAGTAGCTCTATTTTTAATTTTTTGAGGAACCTCCATACTATTTCT